AAAAAAAAAACAAAAACAAAAATTGGGACCAAATTGTGCTTGTTTGGTCCACATCTAAAACATCACTGAGCAAGGACTCACCCAAAATTGTTCCACCTTGCTTCTCACCATACACAGCAGCACCCTGTGATCGGTGAACATCTCTGGAAGAGCTCCGTTCCTCAGCATCTTCTCTCCCTTACGCCCCAATATGTAGTTTTATCTCTCACAATTTTTCTAAAACATCACACATCAGCTATAGTGAAAAGAGCAATAGGAAAATCGGACTAATTTGTCTGGTATAGAAAAAGCTCTCTTCCCTTATTTCAGGCATGTTGATTCATCTTCAACATCATATGAAAAGTGGTTGCTCCAGAGGGAAAGTTACGGTCAAACAGGCCTATGCACAAAGGAAAAATGAAAGAGAGAAAAAAAGCCTGTAAAAATCTTTGGTGCTGGCAATGGCTAAGACTTGTGTAAGACCTTTTATGCTGAAGCCCTTTCATAGTGGTCTCAGAAATTCAATGATTTGGAGACTGTCACAGATATGTTGAAGTGTGATCCCAACTGCTATCTGTTTCAGAAATCCTGTGGTTAAATGGAAAACAAAAAAAATAAAATAAAAACTGATAGTTTATTTTTTTCTTCCATAATATAGCTGGCAGCAGCGATTTTCAAGTTTATTTTAGCTAGAATTCATCAGCAGGTTACCATCTCTTTATAATTTCCCCTCTATGCCTTTACTACCTTCTGTTCAACATCACCTTCACCAGACTCTTCCCAGCTGCTGATTTACTCATGTCAATGAATGTAACTCTAAAAGTGGTGGCATGGACATTCTACTAGTATCTTTTGCTCAATTGATGGTTCTACTCCACATCTGATTATTCAAAGTGACCCAAAATGGAAATGTTTAAGTACTAGTAGCTTCTTTTATAACATGCTAGATTTTCTAGCCTGTTACTTCTATTGATGAGGCCACTTAACTTTCTAAGAAAAGACAGTGTGTAAGGGAGTAGACTGATAGTATTATGTCTTAGAAGAGAAAAAAGTTTGATCTCCAAAGTTTGGTTCCTTTCTCCTGAGATTTTGTCCAATTCCCATTGGAGTTAACTAAAATTAGGGTTTCTACAGAGTTTAGTAGAGCTGAATTGGGCTCTAGGCCAGC